GTTAGCCGTTTTTTAATCGGTGTAAAGAATAACTGGTTGTTTACAAAAGCATTTTCATATTGGTAAAGGCGTCTGCAACTTTTGTGAAGCATCAAATCATCACTGGCATATTAACTATCAAAACATGTTCATGACTGCATAAATGTATTATTGCTTAAAAAAAAGTCACATATTGTGCATTTCTATTATACACAATTTGTACTAAAGCGATCTAAAAAGTTCATATCAATAAGTTTTCTCTTTGCACCACCAGGTGGCAGTCTTTGTACTTTCATTCCGAGGGTGCAGATTGCATACGTTTTATTAATATGTATAACTTAATTTATTTTATTAATGACTATAACTTTATATATATGGTTAAAATATGTACCATTTTCCCAAGTGTATATAACTACTACTGTAAGAATATATCAGAATTGGGAACATACTTTCTGCATTATCTTGGCTTGAACTAAGCCGATCTAATCCTGTTTATATGAATTGAACCTGCTCCCGATCAGGTTTGACCTAGCAGAACTGTTGCTATGACAACAACTCTCGGATCAGCTTTGAAAAACGAAACGATCCTGGATCGTGTCAAATCGTCAATATCCAAATCCAGCTAACTGAGTAATCCACGTTCGAAGAACGGACCCCTGTTTCATAAACGTTGTTTAGAAAAGCGGGGATTAAAGTCGAAAACCTGACTTCAGTGAGCCGAAGTAAACGTCCACACTAGGGCTGCACGATTCTGGCAAAAATGTGAATCACGTTTTTTTTTTTTTTTTTTGGTTAAAGTCAAGATCACGATTTTCTCACGATTCTGTAGATATTTAGTTTATTTATTTATTTGACATGGACATCACAATTACACTGGACAACCAAATGCATTTGTTTAAGTGTTTTAGCCAACTTGCTAATTCTCAACACATGTCCACAGGAGGCTTAAAAATTGACAAAATAGAAATATTATAAATACAAACACAACATTACAATTCTTTACAAAAAATTACTGCAGGCAAAAGCAAAGGCGACATGATCTAACCAACTAACATTTGTGCAAACACTGCTGTTTTGTTTTTAACCACTTTTTAAGAGCACTACTAAAATATTTAGATTACTTTCTGATTTTAAGCTAACCGGTAAATCAATCCACAGTTTGGCTCCCTTTACAGAGAAGACAGATTGACCAAACGAGGTCTTACACTTTGGCACTAGACAGTCACCATTAGCAGTTGCCTGTGTAACTCTGTGGGAGGTTTCAAGCTGAAATAAGGTTGAAATAAAGGTTAATATGAGTAGGCTATTATTACTATTAATTCTCAAACATATGGTAAAACAACAATAATAATATTAGGCTTATGTGTAGTGTCTACTGCTACTTAAAATGCTCAATTTTGTATAGTCACTATTGGTGGACTTGAACAGACTTTCAATATGTCCTGTTTAACTCACAGTAAAATGATGATATCAGAATATAGCTATTCATAATTATAAAGTTGATTTATAATGTTTTAGGCAAGGCAAGTTTATTTATATAGCACATTTCATAAACAATGGCAATTCAAAGTGCTTTACATAAACAAGAATAAAAGAAACAAGTAAAATAAAAATAAAAACAAATAATAAAAATGCGTAAAAACAAAACAAAACATAAAAACAGGTAAAATGTGATATAAAAGAATGAAGAAGAAGAGAAAAACATGATAGTGCAATCTGTCGGACGCAGCACAGTGCTCATTCAGTAAAGGCACAGCTAAACAGATGTGTTTTCAGTCTTGATTTGAATGTGCCTAATGTTGGAGCACATCTAATCATTTCTGGAAGCTGATTCCATTTTAGAGATATGCTTGTCATGTGTCATTGACAGCATTATTAGACCGTTTGTTTTCACTGGTAAAATGAGACGTTTGTCATTATCAGATTCCTTCTTGCATTATATTCAACATTATATATAGGCTAGGGTTCTTATACTGACACAGTAAATGTTTATTTGGTAACACTTTACAATAAGGTTCATTAGTTAATGCATTTACTAACATGAACTAATCATGAACAACACATGTGCAGCATTTATTAATCATAACTGAACATTTACTAATGCATTATTAACATTCAAGTCCATGCTTGTTAACATTAGTTAATGCCCCATGAGTTAACATGAACTAACAATGAACAACTGTATTTTCATTAACTAACGTTTACTAACATGAACAAATACAGTAGTAAATGTATTGTTCATTGTTTGTTGATGTTAGTTAATGCATTAATTAACATTAACTAATGAACTTTATTGTAAAGGGTGACCATTTATTTTCATGCACAACACTCTTCATTTGTTTCGTCTTGAAAAACGCAGGCGATAAACGCAAACGAAAAGCATCCCGGTGTGTACGAGCCTTAAGGATTTTGGACACTTTTTGGACACTTTTAATGCTTCAGTTTGCTGAAATTATAAATTGCCCATGTCTTGAGGTAGTTCATTATGATGCGATTTACCTTCTGTGCGAATTGATTTGAATCACAAGACTGATTTTTCTAATCCTCATAGACAAGAGGATTAGACACAACACAACATCGGTTATCTTTGTATAACAATGTCAAGTGTAGTGTCCCTGTAAAATAAACAAGCAAATAAAAAAATAATAATAAAAAGAAGAAATAAAGCTGCAGGCTGAAAGACAGTAGCGGAGTAAAAGACCAGACACTGCACTAAAAATGTACTCGAGGAAAAGTAAAAGCACACATTTTTAAAATACTTAGTAAATTACAATTTCTGAGGAAAAACTTCTCAATTCCTGTAGTTTGAGTATTTGTAATTTGTTGCTTTGCACCACTGGTAATAAGAAACAAAACTTTCTGCTTAAATACACCTAAAATAACTGCACAATATGTATATATGAAAGACAGCAGAAGTATTTAAAGAATAAAAAATATTGTGCAAATTAAAAAAGATAAAAGCAGCAAACCAAAACAAATCATAAATGAGAAAGTCTCAGTCTTGAGGCCCGTGCACACTGTTTTCTTGCGTTTTCCGTTGACGTTTAACACCTCGTGACTAAATAAAAGGCGCTAATGTGACACCAACGTGCAAAACGGCAGCCGTAAAAGCATCATTTTTTAAGAAACGCCTCATGCTTGTTTGTTTGTTTTGACGTGCTGCGTCAAAACCTTCTCCACCAATGAGATTGCCACATTTTTTACGTGCACAGAGCTGCTGAAGTTACAGTAAACGGCACTTGGAGGTGCTCAAGCGCAAAACCGTCAATGCGAGCGCACATTGAAGAAGATGACCAGAGGTGATATGAACGTGGAGCTGCTTATTGCTCTGCTGAACAATAATCATTTCCTCATCGCTAGAGCTGGAGCTGCTACTTGAACCATCCATGCTTGTTCGAGTCGCCAGACACTTTTAAAAAAGCATGTTAACGTTCTCTCTTCTTCTTCTGTGTTACAAGTGGGTGTCAGAAGCTTAAAGTTGTGTATCGCCATCTAACGTCAAGGAGTAATAATGCATACTCTTCCGCTCAACGCCAGTGAAAATTACGTGGATTTGAATCTGGAAAAACATCTCGTAAATGCTGACGATAAACGCA